GGAGAGTTTTAAAATACCAAAAATATCCTTGCATTAAGATTTTAATTTAAAATTACCAAATTTATAAATTTTCTAATTTATCTATTGATTTGTGGTTAATRTTKRTTCTCACAGTTACCACAAACAACTCAGTTCTCCCTTGAATAGTCGTCTACTTCCATTTTTTGACATTAATGTAAAATCACATGTGATTTCAAACATTAACGACATTTTTCTTGTTTTATTAAATAGTTAACAATCTCATTTGAATCTTCATCTAGTCATAATACACATATGGTGATAAATGTTATGATTTAATATAATTGGTAAACATCGATTTATGACATTATTGTCTAAGACAAGCCATCACATCCCATATTTTTTTCTTTTTGAAGTGTATAATATTTGATATACGACAAATAACAAATAAACTCACACACCCTCATCACATTTGGTGAGGTTTGAACCCCTGACCTCTTAGAAGGCCAAAGACTACGATACCACTATGCCAAAGGCCCTTTGATTCACACCCCATACTTGTATAATGAACATCATCATAAAATTAACCACAACCATTGTAAAGGAATACCTACACAAAAAACTTGTCTTAGACCTATAACTGGATACATTACTATTCATAAATAATCTTAAACTGTAACACAATGAGTTAAAACGCATTGTGATTGATCTCCATCTTAGCACTCAGCCACACCTTCTCTTTGACCTCGTCACTTTGCCCTCTTCTTAGTTATACGCCATTAGTCGGTTAATAAACTCGACAAGGTCATGGTTTTTCAAGTGAAACATTGTTCAAAAATATATCATATCAAACCATAGCACTTAAAAATCGACTTCCTTTTGCAAACACCATCACCTGACATTTTATGTACGCGAAACTTGTTATCCAATATACCAAAACGCTTTCATATATAATACATAAATTGCCACGTCTTGCATGCATTCATACAAACATACTATCTGAAGCATTTCGTAAAACAATTATGCATACCATTTTATACGACACTTCCACACAAGAAAAACAATATACTCTGCATGATTTTTTTTCTTCTAAAACAATACAATTTGGGCCATTTGACCTAATCATATTTGAACTCTTCAAGTACAAAGGCATATTTTGCTTGTATCGGGGTTTTTTATTATTAATTAACCTGAATATTCAACCCACTATGCGAGCCGACTAATTCTAGGGCGACCATCTACTTTGCACATAGCCCGGAGTCACCGCATTTGAACCTCCGTGGCCAGAAGGGGATTTTTATTCCTCCTTGGATTTGAACCTGGGATCTCCTGAGTACTTTTGACCTTTGGAGTTAAGCTCAAACCAATCAGGCACCACCCTTGTGGTTGCCAGGGCTTAATGTTCCCGCCAAGTATATAGGTACTATTCAACTTGTATCCCTATTCAGTGTATACATGTTAGAGTACACATCTAGTTTGTATCGTCATTTTGTCTATTCCCACCAAGTGTTATTTTATGGTTTGTTCAAAAGTATCATTTCATTTGACATTATTCTTGTGGAAAGAAGTTCGATCATGAGTCCAATTAAAATTCAAAACTCCATCTTTAAACTTGGTGGTTCGACATCTTTCAATCGGGTTTTGCATACCCTTCGACCCCTAGAACATGTTTGTTGTTTTCTTCTCTAAAGTGGTGGTCTCTCGTTTTTACAAGATGTATTATTTTGTTTCATTACCCTTTGTACATGTCATTTTTCTTCTGTCTTCCTATTTGTCCTAACGAAGTCAAAAATCCTCATTTCATGTTTAGGCCCCGAAAACATCAAACATCATATTAAGTATCTTAGAGGGTGTTTGGTTCGCTTTAACGAATGAAAATAAGACTGGTAATTAAAATAGAGTAGAATATGAATCATTATTTTCATTCTATTCTATTCTATTATATTATCAAAGATTCTTTAAAAAATTAACTAATAATAAAAAAATAAAACAAAAAAGAAACTTGATAGCCACCTAATCCATTACATCATATTATCTTTATTCTTTCCAATGCACGTTTTGGTATACGAGAAGAAGTAAGAGGCATAATTAAAATGAAAAAGGAAAAGTTTCTATTCAATATTCCCCCGAAATTGAGAAGGAATGATTTTTAACCAAACCTCTCATAATAATTGATTAATTTTTTGAAACCAAACATCATTTTTCATCCCTTAATTGAACCAAACATAATCGATGATTATCATTTTCATTCATTACTTTCTAATAACCCAAACAAAACAATCTTTAGGGGTCGTTTGTTTACCTCTACCTCTAAATTGTCAAGAGGTAAATCTTGTTCGGTAAAAAAAAAAGTTGTCTCTTAATGATTTTAAAACCCTTTGAATGATTTTGTATCATAAGCCCCCCTTAACCATTGAACGTCCGAATTTCATTTTTAAACAATTATATTTTATTTTATACTATATCATAAAAACATCTTAATCATTCTGAGTTCTGACCACTTAATCATTATGCTTATGCAATTGTCAAACATCCCCTTAGTTTAGTATAATAAGCATAGTTAAAATTATAATTACAAATTTTCTAGGTTTTATTATAGAGAAAAAGAGTTAAATGGAAACCAACTTTATATTAATTCTTATATTTCATCATAGAGTTTGAAAGCATAGGTGTTGGGTAAGCCTGCTTTCAGATAGCAAAAAGAACCCAGGCCCAGGTGTTGGGTGTGAAAATACTCCCAATCAGGCTTTTTTCAGACTATTCCCAACTTTCTCCGGCCCAGGCTTTTTGGGCTTTTGAAAAAGAAACTTGATTCAGTCAGGCTTTCAGGTCTAGGCCTTCTCGGGTTTGGTTAAAGTTAAACAGATATTTCGAATCTGAGTACAGTGTCAGTAAGTTTTTTGACAAAAGGTAGAAAACGTTCATTGCCTAGACACAGCATCATCAGCAATGATCCATGCTTACTGTAAATTACAAGCCCATCACTAATAGAGATCAACAACATAAACCAAATACACAACAAATTTTGACCTAAATTCATGGGGTATATGAGAACAGGGTTGACAGAATGGCTATAGGAGTTGAGTCTCAACTTAAAGATTAGATTGTTACAGATACGATGTGAAGAAAACCACCTACGACTTCACCATCACCACCGCCATAATGGCATCAGACAGCAAAAGGTTACTACAGTTGACAAGGGTACATAGTAAACCCACGATAGATAGAATAAGGAGCCATTAGAGCCTAAGCACTGTAAAACCTGTTCATGGGTCAAATGCAAGTCCTGACATGAACCCTATAGAACTAGAAGGACACCTCAAAGAACTGCCAAACCCGTAAACTTTAGTAGCTATTAAGTTTCCAGACAAATGTACAAAGATCTTCAATCAAGTTTCTGTTTTCAAACCTCCAATAATCAGTTAAAGACGATAATGGAATGCAAGTATCCATTGATCAAAGAGTACAAGCTTAATATATAGACAGGCATGTCCGAATCAACATTGTTATAAATGCTTTTCTTTCCTTTCCTTCCCCTGTACAAAAACTCAGAACACAATTTTCCTTTTTCCCCCTACTTCCCTTCATATAAAAAACTTGAGAACACAGCGTTAGTGATTGCTTGATTATGGATAGCTCCGTTCTCGAGTTTTTTTATATTGAAGGGAGAGAAGGAAAGTAGTGGGGAAAGAAAAATTGTGTTCCTGAGTTATTTTTACAAGGGAAGAAAAGAAAAGAAAAGCATTTATAACAATGTTGATTTGGACATGCCTGCCTATATATTAAACTTGTACTCTTTGATCAATGGATACTTGCATTCCATTAACGTCCTTAACTGATTATGGGAGGTTTGAACTTGATTGAAGATCTTTGTACATTTGTCTGGAAATTTAATAGCTACTAAAGTTTGTGGGTTTAACATTACATTAAAAATTGTGCTAAAAGTCACCTGAACTAAATAGAGAAGATCTAACAAATGTATATTTTGCTAATACTCTAACTTCAATTACAATGATTCCACAATAACAGCAAACAGAGTTTAGGTCAATCACTAACCAAAAACCAAATTCAAAAACGATGCAAACATCGTTCAATTGAAGAACTGACGAACCAAATTACGGTCATAACTCATAAACATGAAATTCAATACTTGAAAACACAGATGCAAAATATGTATATAAAAACTGAAAGTGCATTAAGATTCATAAAAAAGTCTAGCATTATCATTCACCAGCTGAAAATCGAGAAATAACAGAACAAAATCCGAAACGCAAAACAACTTATCTTTTCCTCAGAATCGGAGCTTCGAGAAAAACCAACGGTTCTTTCCGGTCTTGAAACGCTCCTCCAACCGTGCTTTCGTCTCCTTGCAAGCAGTCACCTTCTTGTCATGCGACTGAAGCGCATCGACCGTGACGACATCCTTGAGATCTACGTCGAGCGTGTACCTAGTCGGCATGATATGGTTGTAGTTCACGAGCTTGATGAATGCCTTCACGCGAGATTTCTTCGCCGTCTTCTTCGCAGAATCCTTTCGGATCACCTTCTTCGGGTACTTGGCGATTCCGGCAACGAGACAGTGACCATAGGGACGGTCACGAGTTCCGTCATCAAATTGTCTTACGATCACCGCTTTCCGTCCGGCGAAACGGCCGTTGAGAACCACCACCGCCTTGTTCGGCTTCAAAAACTTCACCATTTTCGCCGCCGCTCCTCTCTCACACACAAGTAGATTCTTGTTAGGGTTTTGGAGAGTACATTATTACGCAAAGGCTCCATTTTATAGCATTTGTTTTTACAAAATGAACCCCAATCTTTGCTAAAATTGCGTAAATGCCATTAGGTTTTAAAGTTTCATGTAATTTAAAGTTTATACCCCGATCTTTTAATATATTGCATTCAAGTCCTTTATATGCTTTCGAACTCTTTTTTTTGGGTAATCGTAGGTTTCCAGGCCAAAGATTTTCAAACTTTGCAAATAGCCGTTAATTTCATAACACGTTTTGATGTTAAATTAAGGGGTTTGTTACCCGATGCTTATCTGTAAGCGCTTATCGGTAATAGTCAATATTTTTCATTAACTTATCGGGTAAGATGAAACAAAATTGTATGAAACAATTTATTCGGTAAATACTTACTAGGTAAGAGACTTTTTGACAGTTGTTGAATGGTTTGATGCATAATGATTAAGTGGTCAAGATGATTAAGAGGCTTCCATGATATAGTGCAAATGAAATATAATTGTTTGGTAATTGTTTACAATACAATTAAGGCGTTGAATGGTTATGGAAGGCCCAAGATACAAAACCATCCAAAAGGTTTTAGAATTATTAAGAGACAAACTTTTTTTTTACCAAAGAAGATTCACCTCTTAACGATTCAGAGGCTGTCTCTTAATGGAACTATTAATGGGTAAAAAAACAACATGCATTATGCTCACTTATTGGATGAGACTTTTGGTCCTTGTTATTGCTTTTATCTGGTAAGATCCCCAGACATTGTCATATTGATCCGATAAAGTAAGTTGACTTACTTACTGAGTAAGTGTTTTAAAAACGGTTCATAAATCAATTGAATTTATCGTAATAGCAATCAGACATGTCAAGGAGGCTCTATTTTTCCAAAAGAGGGGGCAGTAAAACTAGGGGTGCTCAAAAACCCGACCAACCCGATGAACCTGATATTACGAAATAACTCAACTCAAAAGCAACCCGATGTCTAATCGAGTTGTAAAAATTTCAAACCGTAAGTATTGGGTTATTATTATTTGAACCCGACCCAACCCAATGAACCTGATATTCTTCTATTTCTTGGATTTAATATGATTGTTGAATTTCTATTAATATATACATTAGACGATTACACTTTCACGTACGCTTTTCATATACACATGTTTCCAATATATTTACACCCCTATATAACTCATTCATATATATGTTCAGTAACTGTTAACATATATATTAAATTGACAAAATTAACTGAATGCGATATACGTAAGAAGTATGAATAAGTTATATCAAATGGTTGATAATAAAAAATAAATTATAAGTAGAGAAATAACATATTCAAGGTTAGAAGAATATTTTAATGTACCAAAGTATCACTCGACCAACCCGTACGGTTTGAGTTGGGTTGGGTTGCACTTTGGTTTGGGTTAGGTTAAGATTTTTCAAACGCAAGCATTGAGTTGAGTTGAGTTGAGTTGTTCAAATGTCTTCAACCCGATCAATGACAACCCATGAGCACCCTTAGGTAAAACGACACTCCTTTTGTGGAGAACGAAAAATAATAAATAAAAGAGTAATTCGTCTACCCATACTTGGGCTATCGAAGGAGCTCAATCTTTTAAAAGGTCAAAGGTCTAAACCTTATTAAACGTATCTAAGTATTTGTTGTATGTAAAAATAACATATTAAACACAGTAACAAATTTTTCCTTGTTAACTAAAACTAAGATTCAAGAGTTGGATTAAATTGAAAACTTGAGTACATGTTTTAATTCATCGATGTAAAACTGAATAAACAGAAAACACAACTTAAAAAACAAAATAAACGAATCAAACATTTGGCATACACTCGTTTGATCCGTAGGATTTGATTGGATTTGGAGAGATTTAAAGTCGAATTTCGTTTAAATTCCATGTCTGATTTGAAAGATATCATGATTTGAAATCCTACAAACACAGGATTTCAAGATCCCACGGTAGACTCAAATCGGGGTTGGGACCGGGGATCCCCAGTAAACTCAAACTAACGGATATTCTTTATGGGTTTTGATAAGGGTTTGACCAGGGACGGGATGTTAATCCCCGTTCCCACCGGGGCTGGGGCTGGGGCCGGGGGATGTTACTAAAAACCGGGGCCGGGGATTACAAAACCCGCCCCATCCCCGCCCCGTTGCCATGCCTATTATTATCCCACCTAAACATATTTTAATCTATTATCCAACCTGTCAGTCCGCTAATTATATAAGCCAAGGGAAGCAGTTTATTACAAAGACACAGGCAATCCCACCTGTTGCTTTTTTTCTTGTACATTGTTTCTACTTTTTTTTACAAAGATGCAACATTCTTGCCTACCTCAAGAAAATGATCAAAACTCTCTCTCTAACAGTCGAGCTCGAGCCGAGCCTATTATTATCAGTCTTTTAAACTGACCCGTCTCCTAAAAAAATAGGCCGATATCATCAAACAAAAATTGTGGCCAAACAGATCGTAAACGGAAGTAAAAATTGTACACATCGCAAATAAGCTAGAGCGCGAAAACACATTTTGCTGCAGCTCAGTTGCATTTATCAAAAGAATCACACCTACACTGCCTGTTTGATAGGAGATCCCGATCCCAGGTGTTTATGGGAGTACCCGATCTTCACTTAGATCAGTAGTCTTCGTATATCACTGAAGTTTGATTTTAACGCTCCGAGGAAAGCACCTGCAAAAAGAACATTTAGGACCCGGTTTGTAACACCCGGAAAATATCGAGCAAGTTGATTTCCCAAACTTATTGATTTATCCTATGTATAGCTAAGGATTAGTATTCAGGTGTGGGAAACATTTGGTTACAAGTTTAAGAATAAGAGGAAGCCTTAGGTGGGAAAGCAGTAAACCGGGTGGGTTTGGTGCGGGTAAACCCGCATGAGGGTCGCCAAACCCTCTGTTTTGGACAAACACTGAGCAATTTTTGGGTCGTGCCAACAGTGAGAAAAGCGGGTACCATGCGGCCCCAAGCCGCATGGAAGTTGCCTGGAGGGTTGTTGCTAGGTGGATCCTCAGGCATCGACCGAGTCCCTCTTGAACTGCTACCTTTTTCTTTGCCTCATCATCACCTCATTACTTTTTCCCATTTTCCTTCACCTACTTCCATCCTCCATCTTCCTTCTCATTTACTTCCAACCAAGAGTTGCATTAATGGTGGGTTTTTGTTGAAGATCCAAGATTTCATTTAGTGTTATTGAAAAGAATCAAAGTTAGTGATCAAGCTTCAAGAACCCCCCCCCCCCCCCC